AACCATCCAGTGGATACGGCTGTATTCATATATCCATGTAGCAACGCTTCATATAAATTGTACTTCACGTCGATGGGACTGTGCGGCCATTTGTGGGCGGGTGTTGCGGTGGGCGTCTAGGTCGGCGTGTTGCTCCTTCGGGCGCTATAAAGGTGCCTTTGATTGGAAAAAAGCTAAACTCAGCGCCTGTTAAAGGCACGGTCCATATAAATAAGCATAAATAAGCATAAGCACGGTATAAATAAGCTACAGATAGAAAAGTGGTATCGAAGTGAAAATATAGGCGTCGGAGGGTAGAGTGGTCCGCGACGAACAACCTTGTACCGGTTTCGCGGCAAAAAATTGTAAGGGAGGGGCGCTATAGCGCAATATAGGTTCAGTGACGCCTCCTTTTCCAGTGACTCCGCCTCCAGACTCCGCCTTCAAGGCCCGCCTTTCAGTGAAAACGAAGCTGCAGGACGAAAAAGCATGAAAAATCGTCACTTGTACGGTCGTAGAGTTCTTATCGGGAATCAGCTGTGCGGATGGGGAAGTACTTCTAAAATGGAGTAAATTGGGCACGTACGAACTGTGTTCGAAATGGGGCCCCATATAGGGCGATTGGCATGTTTTTCTGGTTTTTTTTCTTCACTATGAGTTACTCAGCACCTTGTCGTCTATATGCCAACCCTAATTCACTATCCGTGATGGTAAATGATCGCGGGCTTTGCCTTAAGAGGGCAGCGTTCAGACTTCGCGACGGCAGCGCTTCAGTCGCGCGTTCAACGCGATCAATGCAGTCGAAAGCATGCGCATCGATCGCGTCGAACGCGCGACCGAAGTGCTACCGTCGCGAAGTCTGAACGCTGTCTAAGAGGCGTAGTGACGTCATGCTGGGCGTACCGACCTTGTACGCCTTGTTTCGTGGCACCTGCCTTCAATTGCCTACACTGGAATAATAAAAGGGCGGTTCCACAGTAGCAGGATCCACTATTACTGTACTACTATCGTTCTGCGTGAAACTGTGACGAAGTACTGATAGCGTCGAGGGTTGGCCTGCGCCGAAGCGCAGAGTCTTTTGCACTGCTCATTGGCAAAGCAGCGTTGCATTCCCACATCTCAGACGGAATATTTAAGTCGTGAAAATGCCAAGGAATATCACGCACTTTGCAACAACATGCATGTCCATGAATTTTTGCCAATTTTAACTGTTGAACTACTGTTTAATCGACTGCGTACTTTCAGGCTTCAATGGAGCATTATGGCAAGGAGAAAATTGATACATCGGCGGAAGATCTTCGTGATCCAAGCCAAGATGAGGATGCGAAGTTGCTCTGTGGATATGGCAGGTAAGCAAATTGAGGGATTGTACCACCATGGAAGGCCTTTCCGATAAATGAGAACTAGAAATGAAACCACAGTGCAAAAGATAGCTCGGATTGCTGAGCTTCGTCTCTCCCGTGTTTCCGTAGGGAAACTTCTTCGCACTCCTTTCATTCATCTACACAAGAAAGCCTACTTTGAATGACCCTAGAGAACAGGGCTGTGTGATCCTGCAATCTAAATAATAGTGAAGGCGACTGTCTCTCAGAAATATGACCAGTCTGGTAACGATGCGATTGTCGCTGCAAATTAGGCAGATTTGCTGGATAAAGGTATTTTAGGGCGAGTAAGAGGTCGAAGAAATAGAGAGAAAAAGAGGAGTGTCGAAATTGCCTCTCATAGGAGCTGTCTATTCAAGGGAATCATGACGATCAGAGGCTAAAGACTCGTTTTGAGCCGAATACGGGGATTCCTTAACTGAAGCCGACCCGATATGTTGTTTTACGCTGGAGGACGGGTTTTTTTGAGGACCATGTCCCTTTGCATTGAGTCAAGGAAAAAACGGAGAGGTGTCAGTGGAGGCATTCGGAGCCCCAGCGCCTGTACTTCACAGTTAGGGAAAAATAGGCTTGCTTTGAAAAACCACGCCAAAAGAAAAATAGGCTCGCTTTGAAAAGCCACGCCAAATAGACTGATGGATGGTTTGCCTTGCTAAACCGTCAGGCTCTGGGCAAATATCTTTGTGTAGGACATAAGGCGAGGGTCGTCTGGAGAGGAGGGGGGGGGAGTCGTGAAACAACTGCGCTGTGTCTCGTCTCTATTCAGCTCACTATTCAGGGACGTTATTACGGCGTGAGGGGGGGGGGGGGTGCCACCTAGCACTTGTGAGAGACTTCCAAGGTGCAAAAACTGTTCTGGTTCAGGACTTTCGTTTTTCTGTTCCCTTCCATAAGTTGATTGGTGTTAATACTCCCTCGCTCTTTCAGGGGAAATCTGGAAAATACTCTGGAAAACTGGAAAAGTAGCTGGAAGTTGGGAGAGGTTAGGAAGATGTCAGCTTGGCAGAAAGCGGGGTCGTGCCCAGAGCAGGTTTATCAGGAGGGGGCGGGGGGTTTTGCGAAAAATGTCACACGTCTGATTGCCGTGCCTGCCAAAATTATCCCCTGTGTGCCTTGCCTTAGATAACTTCCCTCGAACTGGTCCATGGTCCGAGGTCTTTTTTCGGACCACGTTTCTTTCTCGTGCAAACGTTTACATTTTCCTATATTCGCCGGTCACCGCAACCGTTCCTTTACCAGTGCGATTTCAGCTGCACTCCAGCTTGGCTCCAACGGTTTCACAACGCCAAATGTTTGCTATTGATGCTTGGTCTTTGTGCTTTCATACAAGTAAGCCATTAATCCGCTCTTAAATATATTCGTTTTTTCAAAAAATGTTCAGAGTTTCGTCGTAAACGCCATATTCCCCGTTGGACTGTCTACATTGGAGAGGCGATTTAAAATGACCAGGTACGTCGGAGTTGAGGATAAAATTCCATCCAAAATTTCTCATTGCAGCACGCAAACCGGTATCATCTCAAGTTGGTATGACTTCGCTGTGCTCCTCGTGGTCTTTCCTGTTTGTCAGTGGGGAAACAGCGGTGAGTAGAAGTCTTCTCGAAGACGCTATACAGCCTTCTTTTCTGCGAATGCTGGGGCGTGCCAGGGAGAGAGGGTGGGTTTGGCGCGGCGCCAGCCCTTTTTCTACCAATTGCCGTCGCTTGTCCGCTCCAACTGTTGGTAGAGTACCGGCCTACCGGCTGGCCCCGCGCTAAACCCAGTCTCCTGGCACGCCGGCACGGGCCAGCA